ATGCACCAGGCCTCTAGTTAAGCCATAAGAGTGGGACCCTGGTGTGATAGGATTAGTGTCCTGATAAAAGATGCATAAGAGATCTTACTAATTCTCTGCCATGTGAAGACAAAATACTCTAACAGATACTGAGATACCAAGTAACCTAAGAGATAAACAGAAGATAGTCACAATTCCATTTCAAAAAATCAAATTGTGTAAATATTTCAGCTGAAATATTTTCATAGGTATTTTTGCCTTTGTTCAGAGTACCTTTGACAAACATTAACAAGGATATGGAATACAGTTGATGTGTTGGCTATTTGGAAAACTAGCACTTCTATTCTCTGGTATGCAATGGGAATGATTATGTATATTCATCACAAGCTATGTACTAGGATATTTGTATAGTGGCATTATTAGTAATAGCCAGAAACTGTAAACTGCCCAAATGCCCATTAACAGAATGTTTAAATTATATGTTCACACAAAGAAATACAATGAGGATGAAAAATTCCAACTAGCATACCAGTATGGATGAATTTTACAAATATATTGAGTGTACCAAAAAAAGCACATGCTGTATGAATCCATTTATATGAATTTATACAAATGGGCAAAACTAACAATAGAAGTAAAGATAGTGGTTCATCCTTGGGAGAGGGGGCTAGTTACTGGAATGGAGCAGAAGGAGTCTTTTGAGATGCTGGTACTGTTCTGTTTTTTCACATGAAATCTAGTTACATGGAACATTTAGTTTGGGAAGATTCATCAAGCTATATTTTAGGACAGTGCTGTCCAGTATAATTCAGATGTAAGCCACATAATAAAATTTAAAATTTTCTAGAAGCTACATTTAAAAAGGTAAAAAGAAATAATTGTAATTAACTTTATATTATATTTTACTTAACTTTAATATATCTAAAATATCATGAATTTACAGTCAGCATAAAAAGTTAGGTATATTTTATATTTTTTTAGTAATAAGTATTTGCAATCCACTTAGAGTCAGACTAGTGTATTTTCCACTTACAAATTTAGACTAGCCACATTTCAAGTATACAGTAATCATATGTAACTAGCAGCTACCATATTGGACAACAAAGCCTTAAGCTATGTGTATTTTTTGTATGGACATTAGGTTAATGATGGACTGAATATACTACAGTGGTCCCAAAAGATTTTAATGGAGTTGAAAAATTCCTATCATCTGATGATGTTCCTATCATCATTGTTATACTCTTTTCTTTTTTTAATTCTCACCCAAGAAAATGTTTATTGATTTTGAGAGAGAGAGAAATAGATCGATCGGTTGCCTTCTATACAGAGATCGAACCTTTTTGGTGTATGGGATGACACTCCAACCAACCGAACCGCCCGCCTGGGGCTTCATCATTATACTCTTAATTTACTTTGGCAGTCACAGAAAGATGTTTTTACTTTTAACGTAATGACTTTTCAAAAGTTTTACAGGCATACCTTGGCAATATTTTGGGTTTGGTTCTAGACCACTGCAATAAAGCAACTATTGGAATAAAGCAAGTCACACCAATTTTTGGATTCCCTATGTACATAAAAGTTATGTTTACACTATACCAGAGGTCCTCAAACTTTTTAAACAGGGGGCCAGTTCACTGTCCCTCAGACCGTTGGAGGGCCAGACTATAGTTTAAAAAAAAACTATGAACAAATTCCTATGCACACTGCACATATCTTATTTTGAAGTAAAAAAACAAAACGGGAACAAATACAATATTTGTATTTGCATGTGGCCCGCGGGCTGTAGTTTGAGGACCCCTGCACTATACTGTAGTCTAGTAAGTGTACAATAACATTATGTCTAAAGAATGTATGTACTAGTACATACCCTAATTTTAATATTTATGGGGTTTTATTGTTTACTGATTTCAGAGAGTAAGGGAGGGAGGGAGAGAGAGAGAGATTGGAATATCAATGATGAGAGAGAATCATTGATCGGCTGCCTCCTACACACACAACGCCCACCAC